ATACTGATAACAAGTTCAAACAGGTGCCATTAATACAGGTAACGAGTGGAGGACAGAGGAGCCTCTTAAAGAAGAAGTTACAGGTCTGTGAGAGCCAGAAATCTTGCTTGTTTGTAGGTGACCAAATACTTATTTTCCACCATAATTTGCAAATAAATTCATTAAATATCCTACAATGTGATTTTCTGGATTTTTCTTTCTCCATTTGTCTGTCATAGTTGACGTGTACCTATGATGAAAATTACAGGCCTCTCATCTTTTTAAGTGGGAGAACTTGCACAATTGGTGGCTGACTAAATACTTTTTTTCCCCACTGTATGTAAATAAGGTATTTCGGTTTTTTTTATTTTTTGCAAGAAAATCAGAAAAACATGTTTTCGCTTTGTCATTATGAGGTATGAGGATTTTTGTTTATTTAATCCATTTTAGAATAAGGCTGTAACTTAAAATGTGGAAAAGGTCTAGGGGTCTTTTCTGAATGCACTGTACATACACAGTGACTGCCAATACATTATGGACTTGTTCATTTTATTGGGAAAATTAAGTTCATGGGTATAAAAAATTCTCATTTGGAATATTATATAACATCCATGAAAGGTATAAATAGGAAATGATCCGTGTCTACAGTATTTGTCAAAATGTAACTTGTCTATAGTGTATATACTTTTTTTGAGTCTCTGGTTTGATCTGTCATTTATTTTGGCTGTTTGTTACTTGTGCTATTTGTATATTGTTCTGTACAATGTTTGTGCAATAAAAACAACAACAAAAAAGGCCAGGAGTGTCCTTATAGAGCTCACCCGATTGTAGTCCTAAAAAACAGAAATGAATTACTGCTGGTTCTTTCAGCCATTCATATGGGGGAAATGAATGGAGAAAGAATGGGGTTTTGGGGTAAATGCCCAAAATAAGGTCTGAGGTTAACACAGGCTTGGGAGATCTTATGCATTTTGTTCTATGAGATAGTCAGTTAACATGACCTTTACGAATTATGAAGTCTTTATATACTTTTTTTGATTACATAAATGCTTCAAAATTCACAAAAATTGACATTAGCTGATTAAGATTCTCATAGATCAAAACGTATAAGATCTCCTAAGCCTGTGTTTACCACAGACCTTATTCTCTGCGTTTATCCCCCCCAAAAAAACATTCATTTCCCCATAGGCTTTGGCCAACGAGTCATAGCGGAGTTAGTGCCTACAAAAAGATGCCATTACTGTTGCTCTCTATAGCAGCCTTTTCCCAAGAAAAACTGCTGAGCTTTGGAGCAGAACTTGATACATTGTTGCTCTCTGGTTCATGAATCAAGGATTTGAAGTAGACAGATTGATCAGCATAGATAGACAGAAGGTTTATAGATCTTACAGTGTCATACACATGAAGTAACACTCAATGATCTTTATTTTTTGGATTTCCCTTATATAGGTAAAACATGGTTGCAATATGGTTTCCAGTGCTATGCTTGTTATAATCAAAATAAATTAAGATAATAAAAACAACTGTCTCCTTATGTAACAAATGTATTACGGTAGGCTTATATAAAATATATGCCTTATAGACTGGTGTTCTGACCTGACAGACTCTCTATCATTTCACAATGCACCACACTTACCAAGTCAAGAAGTTAACTAAAGGGACACTTACATTAACACCACACACAAAAATGTCCCATACCATCTTCTTAACACTATCAATATACAGCCCCACAACAGGACATTTATACATTTTGGAAGAGCAAGGTACAGCTGGGCTGCATTGGCATATTTGGGAAGCTACTTCTATGCTGAACACCAGTTGGTAGACTGAAACATTTGCATTTCAAATAAATAAGAAAGTTAAACTTTGCAAGTATCCAGTGTGTGCGAGCTTCTTCTTTTGAGTCATATTATCCAGTGCATCTCTTTTCAACTCATTCAACCAGACATATGTGTGATGTGTGATGTCTATTGTGTGTGTGTGCGTGCGTAAGTACAGTGGGGAAAAAAAGTATTTAGTCAGCCACCAATTGTGCAAGTTCTCCCACTTAAAAAGATGAGAGAGGCCTGTAATTTTCATCATAGGTACACGTCAACTGTGACAGACAAAATGAGAAAAAAAAATCCAGAAAATCACATTGTAGGATTTTTAATGAATTTATTTGCAAATTATGGTCGAAAATAAGTATTTGGTCAATAACAAAAGTTTCTCAATACTTTGTTATATACCCTTTGTTGGCAATGACACAGGTCAAACGTTTTCTGTAAGCGTTCACAAGGTTTTCACACACTGTTGCTGGTATTTTGGCCCATTCCTCCATGCAGATCTCCTCTAGAGCAGTGATGTTTTGGGGCTGTCGCTGGGCAACACGGACTTTCAACTCCCTCCAAAGATTTTCTATGGGGTTGAGGTGTGGAGACTAGCTAGGCCACTCCAGGACCTTGAAATGCTTATTACGAAGCCACTCCTTCGTTGCCCGGGCGGTGTGTTTGGGATCATTGTCATGCTGAAAGACCCAGCCACGTTTCATCTTCAATGCCCTTGCTGATGGAAGGAGGTTTTCACTCAAAATCTCATGAAACATGGCCCCATTCATTCTTTCCTTTAAACGGATCAGTCGTCCTGGTCCCTTTGCAGAAAAACAGCCCCAAAGCATGATGTTTCCACCCCCATGCTTCACAGTAGGTATGGTGTTCTTTGGATGCAACTCAGCATTCTTTGTCCTCCAAACACGACGAGTTGAGTTTTTACCAAAAAGTTATATTTTGGTTTCATCTGACCATATGACATTCTCCCAATCCTCTTCTGGATCATCCAAATGCACTCTAGCAAACTTCAGACGGGTCTGGACATGTACTGGCTTAAGCAGGGGGACACATCTTGCACTGCAGGATTTGAGTCCCTGGCGGCGTAGTGTGTTACTGATGGTAGGCTTTGTTACTTTGGTCCCAGCTCTCTGCAGGTCATTCACTAGGTCCCCCCGTGTGGTTCTGGGATTTTTGCTCACCGTTCTTGTGATCATTTAGACCCCACGGGGTGAGATCTTGCGTGGAGCCCCAGATCGAGGGAGATTATCAGTGGTCTTGTATGTCTTCCATTTCCTAATAATTGCTCCCACTGTTGATTTCTTCAAACCAAGCTGCTTACCTATTGCAGATTCAGTCTTCCCAGCCTGGTGCAGGTCTACAATTTTGTTTCTGGTGTCCTTTGACAGCTCTTTGGTCTTGGCCATAGTGGAGTTTGGAGTGTGACTGTTTGAGGTTGTGGACAGGTGTCTTTTATACTGATAACAAGTTCAAACAGGTGCCATTAATACAGGTAACGAGTGGAGGACAGAGGAGCCTCTTAAAGAAGAAGTTACAGGTCTGTGAGAGCCAGAAATCTTGCTTGTTTGTAGGTGACCAAATACTTATTTTCCACCATCATTTGCAAATAAAATCATTAAAAATCCTACAATGTGATTTTCTGGATTTTTTTTCCTCAATTTGTCTGTCATAGTTGACGTGTACCTATGATGAAAATGACAGGCCTCTCTCATCTTTTTAAGTGGGAGAACTTGCACAATTGGTGGCTGACTAAATACTTTTTTCCCCCCACTGTACGTATGTACAGTTGAAGTCGGAAGTTTACATACACTTAGGTTGGAGTCATTAAAACTTGTTTTTCAACCACTCTACACATTTCTTGTTAACAAACGATAGTTTTGGCAAGTCGGTTAGGACATCTACTTTGTGCATGGCACAAGTAATTTTTCCAACAATTGTTTACAGACAGATTATTTCACTGTATCACAATTCCAGTGGGTCAGAGGTTTACATACACTAAGTTGACTGTGCCTTTAAACAGCTTGGGAAATTCCAGAAAATAATGTCATGGCTTTAGAAGCTCCTGATAGGCTCATTGACATAATTTGAGTCAATTGGAGGTGTACCTGTGGATGCATTTCAAGGCCTACCTTCAAACTCAGTGCCTCTTTGCTTGACATCATGGGAAAATCAAAAGAAATCAGCGAGGACCTCAGAAAAAATATTGTAGACCTCCACAAGTCTGGTTCATCCTTGGGAGCAATTTCCAAACACCTGAAGGTACCACGTTCATCTGTACAAAAAAATAGTACGCAAGTATAAACACTGTGGGACCACGCAGCCATCATACCGCTCAGGAAGGAGACTCGTTCTGTCTCCTAGAGATGAACGTACTTTGGTTTGCAACTGCACATGGGGACAAAGATCGTACTTTTTGGAGAAATGTCCTCTGGTCTGATGAAACAAAAATAGAACTGTTTGGCCATAATGACCATTGTTATGTTTGGAGGAAAAAGGGGGGACGCTTGCAAGCCGAAAAACACCATCCCAACCGTGAAGCACAGGGGTGGCAGCATCATGCTGTGGGGGTGCTTTGCTGCAGGAGGGACTGGTGCACTTCACAAAATAGATGGCATCATGTGGAAGGAAAATTATGTGGATATATTGAAGCAACATCTCAAGACATCAGTCAGGAAGTTAAAACTTGGTCGCAAATGGGTCTTCCAAATGGACAATGACCCCAAGCATACTTCCAAAGTTGTGGCAAAATGGCTTAAGGACAACAAAGTCAAGGTATTGGAGTGGCCATCACAAAGCCCTGACCTCAATCCTATAGAACATTTGTGGGCAGAACTGAAAGAGCGTGTGCGAGCAAGGAGGCCTACAAACCTGAATCAGTTACACAAGCTCTGTCAGGAGGAATGGGCCAAAATTCACCCAACTTATTGTGGGAAGCCTGTGGAAGGATACCAGAAACGTTTGACCCAAGTTAAACAATTTAAAGGCAATGCTACCAAATAATAATTGAGGGTATGTAAACTTCTGACCCACTGGGAATGTGATGAAAGAAATAAAAGCTGAAATAAAATCACTCTCTCTACTATTATTATAAAATAAAGTGGTGATCCTACCTGACCTAAGACAGGGAATTTTTACTAGGATTAAATGTCAGGAATTGTGAAAAACTGAGTTTAAATGTATTTGGCTAAGGTGTATGTAAACTTCCGACTTCAACTGTACGTAGTCGTATATGTGTGATTGCAACCATATGTGTGACATCCATTAACTGGAATGGATTAAGACATACAGCACAGTAAAAGTCATCCATGCACTGAATCACTGATTCTCCACGTTATCAATTGACCAGTTTGGATCATTCTTTCCCTCTCTGTCCCAAGAAAATGAGATGACAATGGTCACTGTTAGATTAGACTTTCTAGCCTGAGAGCAAATTAATAAATAGTCTGGTTACTGCTGCATGCTTTTGTTCCTCTGGTCAGGAGCTGGGGTAGTTTACTGAGAGCAGGACCATGTTGTGCAGCAGAAGAGATGTCTCTGATTCTAGAAAGCACAGAGAAGGGGACACAGCATAAGACAAGGATAGTGAATACAATCTGAGATTCATGAGTGACAATTGGAAAATAAAGAACAGCTAAGTGCGTCGTTAGATGCTCCCCCCCCCCCCCGTCACTTCATACACAGAAGGATTCTGCTAAACGTAGAATGAAGCTGTTTATCCGTCTCTCTGTGAACGCCGATAACTTCGGAGCGAAGTTGACTACAAATACAAAGTTGCCAATGTCTTTGCAATTGTTACAAACTAGGATAAAAAGATGCCTCAAATCAAAACCGAGATGACTGCATTAAAATATAAATACAGTATAGGCTACATAGGCCAATATTTAAATCATATTGAAATCAATTTAATGTTCAGTCACTTGAGTTCTATTTTGCTAATTGTAGGCTATACACTGTCCATTTTCTTTTAAGTGTGTAACAAAATGTGCGCAATGATGTGCCAAATCTGTGATAAAGTACATTATTATAGGGTAAGCATAAAAATAAGCTGCCTCAATATTTGCAACCATATAGGTGGTATCTCTCTAAGAGCTGATTCGTCGTCATTATTGTGGAATAATTGTAATGTTAAGGTTAGATTTTAATGGAGAAAGCTGGTCTGAGAGCAGCGCTGTCTTTCTTTCGATCCTATCAGTATCGACATGCTCCAACGAATGTTCTTTCTGCGCTGTGTTTTGGGAAACGCATGTTACATCTTCGGCTGTTGTAGGAACGATGCATTGTTAAAACCCTCGTAGGCCTAGGTTCCATTGCTATCGGGAAACCGGGCCCAGGTCAATAGCATAATGCTGTATAGCAGGTGCACTGTAAAAGCCAGGATGTGCCATGATAAAAATAGAGTGTATAGAACCAACTGGCATTGTGAACCAAGCTGTCATATATAGGACAACAAGCAATCCCCTGTGTGTAAAACAGATCTGGGTTCAAATACCTTTTGAAGTCTTTCAAATATATTTGAGTGTTTGCTTTAGCCTGCCTTGAGTGCCACGGGAGGGGTTTGCGCTTTATCGACAATTATATTGGTTCCATCGTGCCAGGCAAGCTCAATTAAACACAAAGTAGATGAAATTATTTCAAATAGTATTTTAACCTAGGTCTGCCTGTAAGTAAAACTTGTCAGACCTGTGAGCTGGGTGGACAGCTGAAGCCACTGGAGGAGCCACTCTCGACACTGGCTAGTGGTGAGGCTACTGGGATTGAGCCCCCGCAGGTAACAGGCCTGGAGAAGTGGAGGGAGGAAGAGAAGTAGCGTATCACACACTTAAGATAAAACGTTTGCCTTGCTATTTTGTCTTACCAAAGTTTATAATGTATGTTTATTTTTTGTGCCATAAACCATACACTGGTGCATCAGCTAGCAGTTCCAACGGCTCTCTTTTTTAGAATATAGTGCTACAATATAGTTGTAGGTTTGCTTCCTGCATCGGCCACATCTACTGAATACAAATTCTGCTTTGGGTAAAGGCATTTGCTAATTGATTTGATTTTAATCTATAAATGACAGTGTTGAGGCCCCTGACTTCTCTGATTGTCACTTGCTATTCCGTTTCAACTCATTGTATAGAGAGAGTGAGTACCGTTTTGACTTTATTTATATCTACAAATGGCAGTCTTGAGATGGGATTATATGGGGGGGGGGAGGGGGAGGGGGCTGACCTCTCTAATCTCTGTGTCAGTGAGTTGGCCCTGTCCCAGTGTGTCCAGAGCCTGATCCAAGTAAAGCAGGTCCAGGGCTTTGGCCCTCAGCCGGCGCCGGAGCAGGAACCCAGGGAGCCACGGGTTCAGCAAGAGGTGGGAGCACAGCAGCCTCTGAGAGATTAATTAGAAGAGGATAGGAAAGAAAGAATATAGGAAGGGGGAAAGAAAGGGAAGAGGAAGCATGGGAAAAATATAGATTAGGAAAGAAAGGGAAGTGTAGGGAGAGGAATACCTGTCAGATGAGTCATCCATGTGAATTGAATCCCCAAACAAATCAAAGAGAGTTAAAAAGAACCTTGTGTTTCACACAGACGAAACAAAACTATATTTATACAGGGATGACCCATTTACCCTCACCCTCCTAACCTGCTCTCTCCAAGTTTCAAGTGCAAGTTTTCAGTTTCTTAGAAAAAATAATTGCATAACGATATGAAATTAGATGCTCTTTACAAGCAGAGGCTCACTCTGAAATAAACACCAAAAATCCTTACCATCTGACCAGAGTCCATGCCTGTTAATCCCAGTGGTTGTCCGGAAAACACATCCCTCACTGCATTGATGTCTTTCACACTGGGGTGAGCCCCACTCTGCACCTGCATAACAAACATTTCAAATCGCCCCTCCCATTCTGCAGATACACACCAACTGGACCAGGCAGGACAGGTTCAACTGCATTCGCCACGCAAAACATCCACTTACAGTCTTGTACTCTTTCATATCACAAAAGGCCTCAACTAATTGCTGGTGTGGGAAGTCACCACACTGTATTATTATTAGCATGATATGGGTGTGGAGCTTTCCCTTTAGCCATTAACACAATCCCCTGCTGATTTTGTACGTTTGCCCACTGACAAAGACATGATCAGTCTATAATTTTAAATGGTAGGTTTATTTGAACAGTGAGAGACAGTATAACAACAAAAAAATCCAGAAAAACGCATGTCAAAAATGTTATAAATTGATTTGCATTTTAATGAGGGAAATAAGTATTTGACCCCTCTGCAAAACATGACTTAGTACTTGGTGGCAAAACCCTTGTTGGCAATCACAGAGGTCAGATGTTTCTTGTAGTTGGCCACCAGGTTTGCACACATCTCAGGAGGGATTTTGTTCCACTCCTCTTTGTAGATCTTCTCCAAGTCATTAAGGTTTCGAGGCTGACGTTTGGCAACTCGAACCTTCAGCTCCCTCCACAGATTTTCTATGGGATTAAGGTCTGGAGACTGGCTAGGCCACTCCAGGACCTTAATGTGCTTCTTCTTGAGCCACTCCTTTGTTGCCTTGGCCGTGTGTTTTGGGTCATTGTCATGCTGGAATACCCATCCACGACCCATTTTCAATGCCCTGGCTGAGGGAAGGAGGTTCTCACCCAAGATTTGACGGTACATGGCCCCATCCATCGTCCCTTTGATGCGGTGAAGTTGTCCTGTCCCCTTAGCAGAAAAACACCCCCAAAGCATAATGTTTCCACCTCCATGTTTGACGGTGGGGATGGTGTTCTTGGGGTCATAGGCAGCATTCCTCCTCCTCCAAACACGGTGAGTTGAGTTGATGCCAAAGAGCTTGATTTTGGTCTCATCTGACCACAACACTTTTACCCAGTTCTCCTCTGAATCATTCAGATGTTCATTGGCAAACTTCAGACGGCCCTCTATATGTGCTTTCTTGAGCAGGGGGACCTTGCGGGCGCTGCAGGATTTCAGTCCTTCACGGCGTAGTGTGTTACAAATTGTTTTCTTGGTGACTATGGTCCCAGCTGCCTTGAGATCATTGACAAGATCCTCCCGTGTAGTTCTGGGCTGATTCCTCACCGTTCTCATGATCATTGCATCTCCATGAGGTGAGATCTTGCATGGAGCCCCAGGCCGATGGAGATTTACAGTTATTCTGTGTTTCTTCCATTTGCAAATAATCGCACCAACTGTTGTCACCTTCTCACCAAGCTGCTTGGCAATGGTCTTGTAGCCCATTCCAGCCTTGTGTAGGTCTACAATATTGTCCCTAACATCCTTGGAGAGCTCTGTGGTCTTGGCCATAGTGGAGAGTTTGGAATCTGATTGATTGATTGCGTCTGTGGACAGGTGTCTTTTATAAAGGTAACAAGCTGAGATTAGGAGCACTCCCTTTAAGAGTGTGCTCCTAATCTCAGCTCATTACCCGTATAAAAGACACCTGGGAGCCAGAAATCTTTCTGATTTAGAGGGGGTCAAATACTTATTTCCCTCATTAAAATGCAAATCAATTTATAACATTTTTGACATGCGTTTTTCTGGATTGTTTTGTTGTTATTCTGTCTCTCACTGTTCAAATAAACCTACCATTAAAATTATAGACTGATCATTTCTTTGTCAGTGGGCAAACGTACAAAATCAGCAGGGGATCAAATACTTTTCCCCCTCACTGTATGTAATGATAATTAGTAAACACAAAATTGTATAGCTGGGATCATCCTTAGATGTACAGTAAGTTAACTGTAATATTTACATAGACTGACAGTCTTTGGTTATGCATTTCAAAATTGTGATTAATCATTACCTACAGTATAGGCCTAAAATAGAAGAAATGCATGGCAGCTGTTTGAAATGTCTGTGTTCAATGAACAAACATGCTCAGAGTTTAAAGAGGTAAATGAGGAACCTTGCTGATAAGGGTGAGCAGGTGGCTGCGGAGGGTCCACTCTTTGATGTGAGGTATTGAACAGGCCACGCCCTTCAGGATGTTCTCACGGTGTCGGCATCTCTGCTCGTGGTACAACCTCTGGAAGTCCTGCTGCTGCTGCGGAGTCCACAGGTGACGAATCAGGAGCTGTCTAGGGAACAGGCACCTACCAATGAGGGGAGAGGGAGAGGAGGGGACACATATCAGATTAGAGGTTGGAGGTAACCCATCATTCACCATCCATTTATAACCCCCCCCCCCCCATTTTGGAAGCATGCATATGACTCCCCTACAAATGACTACAATTGCACTCTTTTCAATTAGTCTCTTAAAACTGTTAGCAATTGATATTGTCAATATCAGGTTGGTTGATTCACAACAACTCACATAAGAGTGAAAACCAAAATGATGGCAAAAGGCGGGATAGAGATTATCACCAGGGGAATGGCTTTTATCATGTCTTTGCGAAACTGCAAGATTAAGATAGAGAAAGACGTACAGACAGAAAGAGAGAGAGAGCATTACATTTGAATATTTTATCAAGTTTGCTGTAGAGTTTATGACTGTCAAACTGCCTCCACGGTATTTGCATCCCAAATGACACCTATTCCCTATATAGTGCACTACTTTTGCCTAGAGGCCCTGTCAAACGTAGTGCACTATGTAGGGAATAGGGTGCCATTTGGGACACAACCAAGGTGTCTACTGCACAAAATGTATGGCTGCCAGGGTGGAAGTGCAACATGTGACTCACTGACCAGAATGATTGTCTCCATCTCGCGGTAGGGCAGCTCTTTGAGTGAAACATCTTGAGTGAGCATTTTCATCCTTATCCTCCTTGTTTCCCTCACATCGTGCACCATGAGCCGAAATCCTACAACACAAAAACACATTGCAAAAATGCTTCATGGTATTGCCTCAAAGAAAAACACAAATACACATTTGGCAGCACAATATAGAGGGAAAGGAGCTATCCAATTCCAACAGGAAAATGTTACAGCTGTAGACTGGCTATGGAGAAGTTGCACTGAGTTAGCTAAGGGGTAGCTTGGTTGTTGCGTAGGGGTGCTTGCAACCTATGCACATAAGTAATAATACATTATTACTTGGGGGTGCTAAGCCTGTTTTTGAGGGTGCTTCAGCACCGTCAACCCCCTCCCTGGAGCTGCTCATGAGAAGTTGTCAGTTAGGCATTAGAGGGTGTTGTTTTGGTTAGGGAGTACTTACCTTTCACAAAGGTGGTATAAAGGATGTAGAGGCGGGGTAATCGATGCTCGAGGAATTTCTCATACCTCTCACTGGCTCTCTGAAATATGCCTAGTCTGCCCTGAGATAACGAGTAGTGCCTGCAAGATAATACACTGTAGAAGAGAACAGGATATCAGATTCAGAGACACAAATTACAATAAAAAAACCTTGTGACATTGTGTAAGTCTCTCCACACATCATCCCAGTGTTCATACAATAATTTGGTTCTCGGTTTCAAGATTATGTTTTTGTATATATCCCATGTGATGTTTTGTAGTTGTATGAGGACAGGGAAGAGTTTAGTTTGGGACACCTAGGCCTATAGGGTTTCAGTGGAAATGTAATAGATTTCTGTTGACAATAGCCAGCATAACCTCTGGATGCAGCATAATTTGTGGTAGCCTGCAGGAGGATTGCAGATTTACTTTCAATCCCTATTGACACTGTTTTAACCCACTAATTTCCCCTTAAAATCAAGGAAAGAATGAACACTTTGGATGTGGTTGTATGTTGTGAAATATGATGACTTTGCTGACTGACAAAGTGGTCTTTGCTCTTTCACTTGCACCAGCCGCCGACCAGTCATTCAAGGGTTTTTCTTTATTTGTACTATTTTCTACAATTGTAGAATAATAGTGAAGACATCAAAACTATGAAATAACACATATGGAATCATGTACAGTCGTGGTCAAAAGTTGAGAATGACAAGTATTGGTCTTCAAAGTTCGCTGCTTATGAGATATTTTTGTCAAATGTTACTATGGAATACTGAAGTATAAATCACAAGCATTCCATAAGTATCAAAGGCTTTTATTGACAATTACATTAAGTTCATGCAAAGAGTCAATGTTGACCCATCTTTTTCAAGACCTCTGCAAACCGCCCTGGCATGCTGTCAATTAACTTCTGGGCCACATCCTGATTGATGGCAGCCCATTCTTGCATAATCAATGCTTGGAGTTTGTCAGAATTTGTGGGTTGTTTGTCTGTCCACCCGCCTCTTGAGGATCGACCACAAGTTCTCAATGGGATTAAGGTCTGGGGAGTTTCCTGGCCATGGACCCAAAATGTCGATGTTTTGTTCCCAGAGCCACTTAGTTATCACTTTTGCCTTATGGCCAGGTTCTCCATCATGCTGGAAAAGGCATTGGTCGTCACCAAACTGTTCTTGGATGGTTGGGCGAAGTTGCTCTCGGAGGATGTGTTGGTACCATTCTTTATTCATGGCTGTGTTCTTAGGCAAAATTGTGAGTGAGCCCACTCCCTTGGCTGAGAAGCAACCCCCCACACATGAATGGTCTCAGGATGCTTTACTGTTGGCATGACACAGGACTGATGGTAGCGCTCACCTGGTCTTCTCCGGACAAGGTGTTTTCCGGATGCCCCAAACAATCGGAAAGGGGATTCATCAGAGAAAATGACTTTACCCCAGTCCTCAGCAGTCGAATCCCTGTACCTTTTGCAGAATATCAGTCTGTCCCTGATGTTTTTCCTGGAGAGAAGTGGCTTCTTTGCTACCCTTCTTGACACCAGGCCATCCTCCAAATGTCTTCGCCTCACTGTGCGTGCAGATGCACTCACACCTTCCTGCTGCCATTCCTGAGCAAGCTCTGCACTGGTGGTGCCCCGATCCCTCAGCTGAATCAACTTTAGGAGATGGTCCTGGCGCTTGCTGGACTTTCTTGAGCGCCCTGAAGCCTTCTTCACAACAATTGAACCGCTCTCCTTGAAGTTCTTGATGATCCGATAAATGGTTGATTTAGGTGCAATCTTACTAGTAGCAATATCCTTGCCTGTGAAGCCCTTTTTGTGCAAAGCAACGATGACGGCATGTGTTTCCTTGCAGGTAACCATGGTTAACAGAGGAAGAACAATGATTTCAAGCACCACCCTCCTTTTAAAACTTCCAGTCTGTTATTCTAACTCAATCAGCATGACAGAGTGATCTCCAGCCTTGTCCTCGTCAACACTCTCACCTGTGTTAACGAGAGAATCACTGACACGATGGCAGCTGGTCCTTTTGTGGCAGGGCTGAAATGCAGTGGAAAAGTTTTTTGGGGGATTAAGTTCATTTTCATGGAAAAGAGGGACTTTGCAATTAATTGCAATTAAACTGGTCACTCTTCATGACATTCTGGAGGATATGCAAATTGCCATCATCAAAACTGAGGCAGCAGACTTTGTGAAAATTAGTATTTGTGTCATTCTCAAAACGTTTGACCACGACTGTAGTAACCAAAAAAGTGTTAAACAAATCAAAATATGTTATATTTGAAATTCTTCAAATAGCCACCCTTTGCCTTGATGACAGCTTTGCACACCCTTGGCATTCTCTCAACCAGCTTCATGAGGAATGCTTTTCCAAAAGTCTTGAAGGAGTTCCCACATATGCTGAGCACTTGTTGGCTGCTTTTCCTTCATTCTGCAGTCCAACTCATCCCAATTGGGTTGAGGTCGGGTGATTGTTGAGGCCAGGTCATCTGATGCAGCACTCCATCGCTCTCCTTCTTGGTCAAATAGCTCTTACACAGCCTGGAAGTGTGGTTTGTGGTCCTCTGTAGCTCAATTGGTAGAGCATGGCGCTTGTAACGCCAAGGTAGTGGGTTCGATCCCCGGGACCACCCATACGTAAAAATGTATGCACACATGACTAAGTCGCTTTGGATAAAAGCATCTGCTAAATGGCATATTATTATTATTATTTTGGATCATTGTTCTGTTGAAAAACAAATGATCGTCCCACTAAGAGCAAACCAGATGGGATGGTGTATCGCTGCAGAATGCTGTGGTAGCCATGCTGGTTAAGTGTGTCTTGAATTCTAAATAAATCACTGACAGTGTCACCAGCAAAGCACCCCCACACCTCCTCCTCCATGCTTCACGGTGGGAACCACACGAGGAGATCATCAATTCACCTACTCTGCGTCTCACAAAGACACAGCGGTTAGAACCAAAAATCTCACATTTGGACTCATCAGACCAAAGGACAGATTTCCACCGGTCTAATGTCCATTGCTCGTGTTTCTTGGCCCAAGCAAGTCTCTTCTTCTTATTGGTGTCCTTCAGTAGTGGCTTCTTTGCAGCAATTCGACCATGAAGGCCTGATTCACGCAGTCTCCTCTGAACAGTTGATGTTAAGATGTGTCTGTTACTTGAATTCTGTGAAGCATTTATTTGGGCTGCAATCTGAGGTGCAGTTAACTCTAATGAACGTATCTTCAGCAGCAGAGGTAACTGTAGCTCAGTTGGTAGAGCATGGCGCTTGCAACGCCAGGGTTGTGGGTTAGTTTCCCACGGGGGGCCAGTATGAAAATGTATGCATTAACTAAGTCGCTCTGGATAAGAGCGTCTGCTAAATGACTAAAATGTAAATGTCTTCCTTTCCTGCGGCGGTCCTCATGAGAGAGTTTCATCATAGCGCTCGACGGTTTTTGCGACTGCACTTTAAGAAATTTTCCGGAGTGACTGACCTTCATGTCTTAAAGTAATGATGGACTGTCGTTTCTCTGCTTATTTGAGCTGTTCTTGCCATAATATGGACTTGGTCTTTTACCAAATTGGGCTATCTTCTGTACACCACCCCTACCTTGTCACAACACATCTGATTGGCTCAAACACATTAAGAAGGAAAGAAATTACACAAATTAATTTTTAAGAAGGCACACCTGTTAATTGAAATGCATTCCAGGTGACTACCTCATGAAGCTGGTTGAGAGAATGCCAAGAGTGTGCAAAGCTGTCATTACATTTACATTTTAGTCATTTAGCAGACGCTCTTATCCAGAGCGACGTTTTTTTTCTTCATACTGGCCCCCCGTGGGAAACGAACCCACATCCCTGCCGGCCAAACCCTCCCCTACCTTGGATGACGCTGGACCAATTGTGCGCCACCCATGGGTCTCCCGGTCGCGGCCGGCTGCGACAGAGCCTGGACTCGAACCAGGATCTCTAGTGGCACAGCTAGCACTGCGATGCAGTGCCTTAGACCACTGCGCCACTCAAAGTCATAAAGGAAAAGGGTGGCTATTTGAAGAATCTCAAATATAAAATATATTTTGATTTGTTTAACACTTTTTGGGTTCCTACATGTGTTATTTCATAGTTTTGATGTCTTCACTATTATTCTACAATGTAGAAAATAGTAAAAAGAAAAGAAAAACCCTGGAATGAGTAGGTGTGTCCAAACTTTTGACTGGTACTGTAGGTATTGGCATAGTGCTGGAAATCAACAAATATAAAAGTAACAGATACAAAGTAAGGTTACAGGAAGGCAAATGTATTTGGTTACATTGATACCGTTTAAGCAGTGCTATTTTCAGGCATAAGCGACTAACTGTCTGTTCCTCGTTAGTCACTGATAGTCACTCAATTAGCCCATGTCAGCTAACATTTTATAGATAGCTGGCTAGACTAATTTACCTAGCAATCTAAACCTTGTAGTAATCATACGCAAGGCACGGCACGTGCCCAGGGGCCTTGACCTCCAAGGAGCCCCCATTGATTTTGTTAGTCACTTTCACTCACATATCATAATAACATGGCATAAGTCATGGCAAAACGTGTAGAATGCAGGATATTAGCTTCAAGTCGGCACATTTCTCTTCATCCCATGGCAAAATGTGTAGAACTGCAGGAAATTTGCTTTGAAACTGCAAAATGTTTTCTATGCCCCATGGCGAAGCCCCACCCCCAAATAAAAATAGCGTTTACCAAAATGGCTTCTATAGCCACAAAGTCCGATTCCACATACACAAAATTAGCACATAAAAAATATATACTTTTTGGTCTTAATAAGGTTTAGCCATAAGGTTAGCAGTGCGGTTAAGGTTAGGTTTAAAATCAAATTTTAATTAGATATAAATAGCCGGTGTTTATGCCTTTGTTGCTATAGAAGCTAGTACCGACCACCAAAACACCCCAGAAACTGCCCTGCGTTTAAGACAAGAGAAGGCTGCGTGCCAATGCTGTTAGCTACATTGTTTATTTCGTGTGCTTGCAACATTAGAATGACTAGCCCTAGCTAGAAGGACTAAAGAGAATGACCAACAGCATTTCGAGTAGGCTAGCTACTCTCCATCTTTCAGTAACATCTACGCTAGGTAATGTTCGAGTTATTCAGTACCTTAGTCTTGAGTAGCCTAACATTGGAGTGTACATCGACACGGTTGAGACCCCTTGAAATGGATAACTGCATCGTATTATCCTTGTAACACAGCATTGGACCCCTCTCTTGCAGAGCGCCATGGTGGTTTTTACACTGCAGGTTGCGTCAATGAGGGGGTTCGATTAATCCCTCCCGGGCGCCGGTATAGGCGTGTTTAGCATCGGCTGAATGTTGATTGCATTCGATTTATAACCGGGCTGCCTCCCGGTCGACTCAAAACATAAGTAAAGTAATTACACACGTGTTGTAATTAGTAGGATTCTGTGTTTCCCCATACAAAAGTGATTGCCTTTGATAAAAAATGCTTTATCTGCCTTCCCAATAAAAACGAGTTAAACAATTCAAACATTTATTGTATGGAAAATATACTTTGTTTGTTTCTGGATGATGCACCATGCAGCCTTGTTGACAAAATGACCGTTCGATTTGAAAAGGGCGCGCCTCCCTCCCCGCTTTCTCCCGATGACGAAATGGGCCTATGCCGCGACTCAGCATAATCGAATCCGCACTCGCCTGTCGCAGTGCTTGAAAGTACAAGCGACCCATAGAGATGTATAGAGATCGCAACTGTGATCTGTCCTATAATGGCGTCTGTGACCGGAAGTGCAGAGCCATTGAGGCCATATCAATTTTTAAGTAGTCAATTTTCTTCTTCTACTACTTTTATGAGTTGGTAATATCATGTAATATGATGTTATCTCAGCATGTAGGCCACATTTGTCTAAATATAAAACAGAATTAACTTGATACAATTGGGCGGCAGGTAGCATAGTGGTTAAGAGCGTTGTGCCAGTAACCGAAAGGTCGCTGGTTCTAATCCCCGAGCCGACTAGGTGAAAAATCTGTCGATGTGCCCTTAAGCAAGGCACTTAACCCTAATTGCTCCTGTAAGTCGCTCTGGATAAGAGCGTCTGCTAAATGACTAAAAAATGTAAAAAAATAAATAAAATGAGACGCCCCGAATGGCTCCATTGTAGGGACACTAAATAGCCAGCAGATGGCAATCTTGTACATCACATCAGGCTGAGCTGCTGCCACTAGTTACCACAGCCACAAAGTCATAATTATGGCTAAACCCCGCTTATTTCTACAATTGATCTTCTTAAAATCTGATTTTAATCCTAACCTTAACCATAACTGTAATCACACTGCTAAATTTATGCCTAAGCCTAAACTTAAATTACATTTTGTTGTCATGAATTTTTACGACACAGCTGGCTGTGGTAACTAGTGACAACCGCTGAGTAGGGCAGTCTGTCAACGAGTTGGCCTAGATGTTGCCCACTGATGCGCTCTAGACTAGTTATTACAGGTGAAGACTTTGAGGTCAGAATAAGTCATTGTAAATACAAGTTCAGAGTGAAGTATTAATGTAACTTATAATGTAGGATATTCAGTTGGTACCTGACACTGCTTTAATAAAATGATATACAGTGGGGAAAAAAAGTATTTAGTCAGCCACCAATTGTGCAAGTTCTCCCACTTAAAACGATGAGAGAGGCCTGTAATTTTCATCATAGGTACACGTCAACTATGACAGACAAAATGAGAAAAGAAAATCCAGAAAATCACATTGTAGGATTTTTAATGAATTTATTTGCAAATTATGGTGGAAAATAAGTATTTGGTCAATAACAAAAGTTTCTCAATACTTTGTTACATTACCCTTTGTTGGCAATGACACAGGTCAAACGTTTTCTGTAAGTCTTCACAAGGTTTTCACACACTGTTGCTGGTATTTTGGCCCATTCCTCCATGCAGATCTCCTCTAGAGCAGTGATGTTTTGGGGCTGTCGCTGGGCAACACGGACTTTCAACTCCCTCCAAAGATTTTCTATGGGGTTGAGATCTGGAGACTGGCTAGGCCACTCCAGGACCTTGAAATGCTTCTTACGAAGCCACTCCTTCGTTGCCCGGGCGGTGTGTTTGGGATCATTGTCATGCTGAAAGACCCAGCCACGTTTCATCTTCAATGCCCTTGCTGATGGAAGGAGGTTTTCACTCAAAATCTCACGATACATGGCCCCATTCATTATTTCCTTTACACGGATCAGTCGTCCTGGTCCCTTTGCAGAAAAACAGCCCCAAAGCATGATGTTTCCACCCCCATGCTTCACAGTAGGTATGGTGTTCTTTGGATGCAACTCAGCATTCTTTGTCCTCCAAACACGACGAGTTGAGTTTTTACCAAAAAGTTCTATTTTGGTTTCATCTGACCATATGACATTCTCCCAATCCTCTTCTGGATCATCCAAATGCACTCTAGCAAACTTCAGACGGGCCTGGACATGTACTGGCTTAAGCAGGGGGACACGTCTGGCACTGCAGGATTTGAGTCCATGGCGGCGTAGTGTGTTACTGATGGTAGGCTTTGTTACTTTGGTCCCAGCTCTCTGCAGGTCATTCACTAGGTCCCCCCGTGTGGTTCTGGGATTTTTGCTCACCGTTCTTGTGATCATTTTGACCCCACGGGGTGAGATCTTGCGTGGAGCCCCAGATCGAGGGAGATTATCAGTGGTCTTGTATGTCTTCCATTTCCTAATAATTGCTCCCACCGTTGATTTCTTCAAACCAAGCTGCGTACCTATTGCAGATTCAGCCTTCCTAGCCTGGTGCAGGTCTACAATTTTGTTTCTGGTGTCCTTTGACAGCTCTTTGGTCTTGGCCATAGTGGAGTTTGGAGTGTGACTGTTTGAGGTTGTGGATAGGTGTCTTTTATACTGATAACAAGTTCAAACAGGTGCCATTAATACAGGTAACGAGTGGAGGACAGAGGAGCCTCTTAAAGAAGAAGTTACAGGTCTGTGAGAGCCAGAAATCTTGCTTGTTTGTAGGTGACCAAATACTTATTTTCCACCATAATTTGCAAATAAATTCATAAAAAATCCTACAATGTGATTTTCTGGAGAAAAAAATTCTCAATTTGTCTGTCATAGTTGACGTGTACCTATGATGAAAATTACAGGCCTCTCTCATCTTTTTAAGTGGGAGAACTTGCACAATTGGTGGCTGACTAAATACTTTTTTTCCCCACTGTACAGGAGAAACAGTCATTTGCACCATAAGATGACGGTGAGGTGAGACACTAGCTAGAAGTGAGACACTTGCCTATAGCTGATGCAACAGTACAATGCTGGCTTTAGCATGCAGTTGATCTAAACTAGACACTGGTGGAGGGCCTGGTTCAGAGAGAGTGTCACTTGATTGAGCCGCAGTGCGTCCAGGGGACAGCCTGTCCCTTGAGTTTATCGGCCATGCGATATCTCTCTCTTGGATCTATATTGGTCCCTGTCTGAGCATCGCAGGGGAAGATTTGTAGTGGCTAGTTCCGAGAAAGTCCTAGGACCTAGTGGGATCTCATGATGTGGTTGGAAAAGTTACAATATGTACACACCAAGCTCTCCCAGGCAATATCTGCTATCTTTTAATATTGTAGAGAAAACGAGGCAGTGTGCATTTTGAGGATATTACCTGGATTTTGATCATCATCTATAACTTCACCATGATGGTTTTCTCTTCAGTCTATGGTTTTTGACTGTCATTGATGATGTTAGTGGTTATCAGGTGTTACAACTGAAGTACTAACTCTAGTGCAAACTGTAAATGGACAAATGCAAATGCTATGAATAAAGTTTCAGGTGATTTTGGGAAATGTATAAATGTTTGCAAAGATATTTGCAAATGAATGAAATAGAAAATGACTTATTGCTGAATGCTTGACATTACAATGTGTGCATAGAAAGCATTACTCAAATGAGACTTATCACTAATGTCTTCTCCACTCATTTCTATATGAATCAAGGCTGCAATCTGCAAGAGTGGCCTAACCTTGACAGTTCTAGCATCAAGCATAAATTATGCCAGTCAAATGGAAGATTATCATTGAACGAAGATACATATCTTAATTTCTCCTGCAACAGGGTGATCAAATTAAGATCTTACATCTGTAAAGGCCCAACAACATTATTTCTATAGGCTTTATGTTCCCCACAGGCCTTTCTTGATGACCGACTGCTAGTGGTGTTGCCATCCAAATGTGGTAGTGATTACCAAGCACAGAGAGCGCTAATCCACGGAGGGTCCTTGCCGCCAACACACACTCTGTCACTTCTAAGTGGCATTATTGATTCCATGTGATGAAGCTCTATTTTTAAAGCCAGGCCAAGGCTAATATTGGAAACATTCTTATGATACCCACCCATTCCCGGGCCCCAGCCTTTTACCCTTTGCCACTCCTCCTTCCTCCCCACTGTCTGCGAAGATAAAATGTGAGCCCCCCCAAAAGTTACATTACTGACTACAATTTTGGACACAAGGAGATGTAGCCGAGCTCTAGTTTGTATCCAAGGTACATGTGCCACCTGCTGATTGAGATTTTCTAGCTGAACTGTCAAAGTTAGTTGAGAAGATATTCAGCAACTCTTGGTAGGCCAATGTAGGATTAAAAAAAAAGCAATCTTCCATTGTCATGAATGAATGCATTCACCAAATATAGATTTTTCAAGCAATCTTCTCATCTTCAGTTTGGTCCACTTTGCATTCTTTGCTTAATTTTGGATTTTGACCTAATTTTACGGTCAAGGTCAAGTGCCTGGGGCAACGTTACACAAGGATATGCAGCCTAGTCCTAGTTTGTTTAGGAATATTAAGTCCACTGTAACATAACTAAAAGTTAACATTGGTGTTCCCTTATGTGTGGTTCCTCAGCTAAAACGTGAATCAGTTAAAAGAGGAACTTCTGTCACTTTATTGAAGGGTTCGCGTCTGGCTTTGGAGGGAAAGTGAGAGAACCTGTGTTAGACTAATGCTGTGTCACTTCATACTTACATTTGATGACAGCGACTGAGCATGTGGTCCACAGCAGCTGGGGGCTTCGCTGATGGTTCAGACCCATTCATCACAGTCTAATGTCTTGTGATGATTCTCCTTTTACTGAGATGCATTCTAAATAGCACCCTATTCCCTATTTATTGTACTACTTTTGACCATGGCGAATAGGGAATAGGGTGCCATTTGGGACGCATGCTGTAGCTCTCTCCTTCCTCACTGACCTGCATATTCAGTAACCAAATAAAATTAAAACAAATTTGCCACATGCTTCTTAAACAACAGGTG